ATGAGTACGTTGCTCCACGTTTATGTCAGGAGGAAAAAGGGCATCTTAAATATGGAGAGAGGTTGCTAATGGTACAGGAACGTTGTGTCCAGAGGAGAATTTGCTCAATCACAGAAAACACGTTGGAGTTTCTTGGCTTCAAGTACATGGAAGTTGACGATACAGATCCAGAAAAATAACAAAAACACGCGATTGGACAAACTGTCACCAGTTATTTGCGAATCTGTGCCCAGTTCAGTGACTGTTTATGCTTTTAGTGTCACATAGTCTTTGGAGAAAGAGCAGAAGGAGCATCAGGTGCTAGAATCAGAATTATAGAATCACAGAATGGGTTGGGTTGGAAGGGACCTTAAAGAACATCTAGTTCCAACCCCCTGCCATGGGCAGGAAGACCTCCCACTGGAGCAGGATGCTCAAAGCCCCATCCAACGTGGGATGGGGCAGCCACAGCTTCTCTGGGCAACCTGGGCCAGGCTCTCACCACCCTCACAGCAAAAAATTTCTACCTGAGATCCCATCTCAATCTCCCATCTTTCAGCTTAAAGCCTTTCCCCCTCGTCCTATGGCTCCCCTCCCCAGTAAAGAGTCCTTCCCATCTCAGAATCCAAGATGCCTTCTCCTTCCTCTGAGGAGAGTTTTTCCTGCCATATTTTGGCTACAGATTCTGTTAAAACCCTCTGCCTGGTGCTACGACTTCTGTGGATTTTCACTATAGAGCAACCCAGGCTCAGGAGAAGACAGGTAAGGTGGTAAACATCTACTTTGGTCTTCTGGCTTCGTGTGCTCCCCCTGAGTAGTTTGAGGAACGGCTCAAATCTCGGAGGTGGAACTAGAAGGCAGGTCCCCCAATTCCTGGGCTGAAGCTCACTGAATATTGTACGTTATTACAGATATTGTAGAATAGACACATCCTCTTCAACCGAATTTAATGTAGTCTGGGCAAGTTAGGCTTGACCTCAGCATGTGAAACACATGTTTTAGGCAAGAAGTTTGCACAAGAACTTACAACACTCTCTCCAAAGAGGGGCAACGGGAGCCTTGCCAGAGTTTTAAGGATGTTAAGAGGACAATAAGCACTTAATCTTGTGTCTGCACAGGTGGTGTGCATGACTCGTGGATTTTCCATGTCTTGAAAAGACTTTTGATATCCAAAGAAATAATTTTTTTTCCCATGGGTAATATATAAATGATATAGTGAAGGTGAGAGAATCCCTGAAACTTCAGTTTGAGCGAAAGTGTGGTGTGTAGAACAGAGAGAGGTCTGTAAGTTATTTGCAGTGAAGTAGAAGCTGTAAGTTCATATTTACATGGGAATAAAATCTACTGATGAACCAAAACATTTGAGGAGCTGCTAACCTGGCAGTTTGAATGTATCGTATCAAGAAAGGCTCAGATGAAAATGGCAGGTTGCCCGGAGAGATAAAAGGACCAAAAGAATTTCTTAGTGCTTCCAGCAGCTCCTGTTTCGTGCAGTGGGGAGTTACAACAAATAAAATCCCTAAACAAGTGTTTTTTCCAACCTACCCGCTGACTGTGGATGATGTTTTTGTGCTCCCGGGCTACCCGGGTAGCCCATTTCCGAGCCTCCTTGTTGAGGCTGTGCTCTTCAGTCGTTCCAGTTTCCGATTCCAGTTGTCGACTCTGGAAGAGAAAACAAGAGGAGGAGTCATTACACAGACCCAGGGCTACCTCTGTAGACGGATCTTGTTTCATATAAAACAAGACAGATTCAACAAAAACAACTCTCTTCTGTATGAATTCTATGATGGTACCAGGCACAAACACAGGTTGGGTGGAGAATGGCTGGAGAGCAACCCTGAGGAGAAGGACTTGGGGGTGGATGAGAAGCTCAACAGGAGCCAGCAGTGAGTCCTGGCAGCCCAGAAAGTCAGGGCTGCATCAAAGAAGCGTGGCCAGCAGGGCCAGGGAGGGGATTCTGCTCCTCTACTCTGCTCTCGTGAGACCCCACCTGGAGTACTGTGTCCAGCTTTGGAGTCCTCAGCACAGGAAGGACATGGACCTGTTGGAACAGGTGATGATCAAAGGGCTGGAGCACCTCTCCTATGAAGACAGGCTGAGAGAATTGGGGTTGTTCATCCTGGAGAAGATGGAGAAGGCACCAGGGAGACCTTATAATGGCCTTCCAGTACCTAAAGGGGGACCGAGGAGAGATGGGGAGGGACTCTTGATGAGGGAGGGGAGCCCTAGGAGGAGGGGGAAGGGTTTGACCCTGAAAGAGGGGAGCTGGAGATGAGATGTGGGGAAGAAGTTCTTGGCTGTGAGGGTGGTGAGAGCCTGGCCCAGGTTGCCCAGAGAAGCTGTGGCTGCCCCAGCCCTGGAGGGCTTCAAGGCCAGCTTGGACAGGGCTTGGAGGAACCGGGTCTGGATCTTTAAGGTCCCTTCCAACTCTAACCTTTCCATGATTCTATGTTGTGGAAAAACCAACTATGGAAGCAAATCCAAATTCATAAGAATTCCCAACTCAACTGTCTCAGGAAAACCAGTGTGACACTGAACATCAGACCCAGCTCTACTGCAATGAGAGACACCATGGATACAACTGAAACGTAATTTCGCCCCTACACGATACCAAAGAGATGAAGAATAACTGGCCAAGGAAGCCACCTAATTTCTGAAGAAACCCCAGGAAGGATTCATCATTTCAAAGATGAAAGGTTAAGTGTGATCCAACTGGCTGTTTAGGCTCACTCTTTGTAATTTGTGAGCAAATCATAATGTCATCAAAATTTTTAGAAGAGCATGACCATTTCTGTCAAAAATAATAATTACCCGCAAAACAGCAGCTCGAATTTCAAACTACATGTTTTGATATTGTTTCATCTTACACCTGCTGTTCATGTGTCAGTAACCAAAAAACAAATAATATCTAACTCAAATTGCCAACTAAAGCAAGATGAAGTAGTTCTCGATTGTCTACAAATTGAATACAACCCATTTGAAACTCTGCAGAAAGACTTTCCAGCATTTAATTAATGCAATCACTCCCAATCTTTCGATAATTTCCATTAGTGCCACAGCACTACCCTGTGCTTACACGTACATCTCAGCATTTGGGATGTGGATCAGTCTCAATCTTCCGACTAAAGTAGGTTTCCTGATAGTCCTTCCTGATAGTCCTATATTTGTGGGCATTCTGTACTCAATTACTGCACCTGGACTGTGTAAGGATAAGTACAGTAGGTTTCCTGATAGTCCTTCTTATATTTGTGGGCATTCTGTACTCATTTACTGCACCTGGACTGTGTAAGGATAAGTAATTAAATGATAATTAAGTTGGAGAGAGTCCAACAAAGGGCCACAAAGATGATGAAGAGGCTGGAGCATCCCTCCTATGAAGACAGGCTGAGAGAGCTGGGACTGTTCAGCCTGGAGAAGAGAAGGCTCAGAGGGATCTCAACAATGACTATAAATACATGAAGGGAAGGGGCAAAGAGGACAGTGCCCAGCGATGGGACCAGTGGCACCAGGAGGTTCTCTCTGAACATCAGGAAACACTTTTTACCCCATGAGGGTGACCAAGCACTGGCACAGGTTGCCCAGAGAGGTTGTGGAGTCTCCATCCTTGCTGACACTCAAAAGCCATCTGGACCACCTTGTTCCAACCCCCCTGCCCTGGGCAGGGACACCTCCCACCAGACCAGGTTGCTCAAAGCCCCATCCAACCTGGCCTTGAACACCTCCAGGGGTCCCTTCCAACCTTAACCAGGGGCAAAGAGGACAGTGGCCAGTGACAGGACCAGAGGCACCAGGAGGTTCCCTCTGAACATCAGGAAACACTTTTTACCCCGTGAGGGTGACCAAGCACTGGCACGGGTTGCCCAAAGAGGTTGTGGAGTCTCCATCCTTGCTGATATTCAAAAGCCATCTGGACCACTTTGTTCCAACCCCCTGCCATGAGCAGGGACACCTCCCACCAGACCAGGTTGCTCAAAGCCCCATCCAACCTGGCCTTGAACACCTCCAGGGGTCCCTTCCAACCTCAACCAATCTGGGATTCTATTATTTTTTCCTGAGCCACTCTCATACCCTTCCCATCAGTAAAAATAGCTGTGAGAAGACATTCTGTTCACTCCACCTTCCTCGGGTGTGCTCTTGACACCACAGAACAGAGTCTTAGACCACATAATTCAGTGGTTTCTCCAACTGAAGTTAATTAATGCTCCGAAGAGGATTCTCAAGAACAACTCCTCTTCCTTGGTGACCTGCTGTCTTGTGCACATCTCACTACTGAGACAGTGCAGTCCAGAACCACCTCCTTATCAAAAGTCCTCTTCAGGCCTATATAATCTTGCTCAACCTTTGACATCAACTGAAAAAATCCCCTAATAAATCATCATCAAGAAAATGGTGTAAATGACCACTCAAGAGACCACGCTTAGTGCTGCTCAAACTGAGAAAGTGTGAAAGTGGGGACTTTTCCATGAATTTTTCTCTCTCACTCTCTCCTCCGTGTTTCCAAAGACAGGATTCTTCTCCATCAGGTGGGGTTTGAAACCAGAGAAGATCCCACAACTACACAGGGAAGGAGAAATTCAAGGTCAGGCAGCAGGAGGAAGGTGAAAATTATTTTTTCAGGCCAGGTGAGAAGCCTGATGCAGGAGAAGAGATGGGGTTATCAGGTAATTTTGGCAGCAAAGAGGTACAATTTGTGCCAGGTGTTTTAGGGGAAGTGGTACCATTTGTGTCAAGGAAGGAAGACAACGTTCACACCAGCACTTGGGATAGACTGGAGTAACATCAAGAGATGCTGGGAAGCAAACCAAAGCGATAATGAAAGCAAGATTTTAATGCTTTCAGATTACACTGCCCTCATGGGAGAGGCAATAATACTAACTTATGCTAACACGTTATCAGAGGATTTAATTGAAAATGAGGCAAAAATTGGTTCAGCTCGTTATTTTGTTCCGCTAAGCTCCTTTCCATCAAAATTGAATCTGGCCTTTATTCTTATTCATCCTCTTATTACAAGAGAGCTGGGGGGAGCGGATTCAAGGGGTTGGGAAGGGGATGATTTCCACCAGCAGAAGCAAGTAAGGGAAAGGAAGACAATCCCCCCCACACCATACACGGTCCCACCACAGGGCTCTGAAATACATCTAATGCTTCAGGAGACTCCTGGGCCACTTTCTGTCTCTGTTTCAAGAAGCTGTAAGTCAGCCAAGAAGCTTGTGGTGCTTCAACTCGTCCCTGGAGAATCATAGAATGGTATGGGTTGGAAGGGACATTAAAGACCATCAAGTTCCAACCCCCTGCCTTGGGCAGGGACACCTCCCACCAGATTAGGTTGCTCAAAGCTCCATCCAACCTGGTCTTGAACACCTCCAGGGATGGGGCAAAGATCAATAAACATCAAAAAAGGGGTGGAAGGGAGATAGCATCACTGTGCTGCTTACAGTGACCAAAAATCTCCCAAAAGGTTTTTACATTCGAGTATATGATGTAAAGGTACTTTAGCTCAAAGCCAGGACCAAACATCTCCATGAAGTTCAACCAGCAGAGTGGGACAGAACCACAAAGTCCATGTTAATCATTGAATTACAGAATGGTTTAGGTTGGAAAGGACCTTAAAGATCATCTAGTTCTACCCCCCTGCCATGTGCAGGGACACCTCCCACCACACCACGTTGCTCAAAGCCCCCTCCAACCTGGCCTTGAACCCCTCCAGGGATGGGGCAGCCACAGCTTCTCGGGGCAACCTGGGCCAGGCTCTCACCATCCTCAGCAAGAAAAATTTCCTCCTGAGATCTTATCTAAATCTAACAGAATTTTCAAAGTAAAAGGAACTGTTAAACAAGACGTAGAGCAGCCCAGAAGAGGAGGAGGGAAGTTCTAAGCACATGATTAGCTCCAGCATGGAAGACAAAACTGCCCACCAAGCAAAGAAGAGGCGGATGCAGCAGTTGTATTTTGCCTGCTTTTATTGAGGTGGCTTCATACGATCTTGTTTCTTCATTACTGTTTGACCTCTTTATTATCTATGTTAAGTTACTCCACTGCAAAACATAAAGAGGACAAACACAGGGATTTATTTAGGCACATCCAATCCTTAAGATAACATTTGACCTCAGGTTTTTCCCGGCTTACAGTTTCTTCCGCAGCTTCCAGCTGAGTCTGTGGCTATAAAGACGATGAGGAGACTAGAACATCTCTCCTGTGAGGAAAGGCTGAGGGACTTGGGGCTTTTCAGTCTGGAGAAGAGAAGGCTGAGGGGGGATCTGATCAACACCCATAAATCCTTAAAGGGTGGGTGTCAGGAGGATGGGACCAGTCTTTTTCCAGTGGTGCCCATGGATGGGACAAGAGGAAATGGGCACAAACTTGAATATAAGAAATTCCATCTAAACATGAGGAGGAACTTCTTTCCTGTGAGGGTGGCAGAGCCCTGGAAGAGGCTGCCCAGAGAGGTGGTGGAGTCTCCTTCTCTGGAGACATTCAACCCCCTCCTGGACATGTTCCTGTGGGACCTGCTCTGGGTGGCCCTGCTCTGGCAGGGGTTTGGAGGAGATGATCTCCAGAGGTCCCTTCCAACCCCATGGGATTCTGTGAGTCGTATCAGCTCCCAGTCTGAGTGGAATCGTTGCCTCTTCCCCCATAAAACATCCCACGATGTATTTTCAGTG